GTTGTTATGTTTAGTAGAGGGGCAGTACGATGGCTCGGTTGCTATTGCCTCCTAACAAGAATGTTGCCAGATCAGTTTTCGGCCGGGGACCTTTCTGGGTAGAGTTTGCGTATTCTCTCCATGCAAGTGTYGGGTTTCTCCAGTTTTCTCCCACAGACCAAAAACATACCTGCTAGGTTAAGTGGTGACTCTAAATTGRGTGAGTGAAAGAATGATGTGATGCCTGTGATGGACTGGAGACCTGTTCAGGTTGTACCTRACCCCTCACTCAGTGACTGCTGGATATGGGCACCAGTGACCCTGAAAGGAAGAAGTGGGTAAAAGATAATGGATGGATGTTTAGTACAACTTTTACAGTCGTGTGAAGCCTTAAATTATTTTTAAAGCAGCACACGTTAGCTTTTTGGTACCTATAGTTTAATCTTGTTTTGCTTTGAAATCCTTAAGAAAAACATTCMAATAGGCTTTTCAAACAAAAACAACCATTTTGATAGCTTATTTATTTCTATTTACCGTTATTRAACCAGGCAAGTCCCGTTGAGGTCTRAGATCTCTTTTTCAAGGGAGGCTTGGAGGCAGTACTGGGGGSTGGCTGTGACAGAGTGGAGTGATCCTGGAACCGGAAAGTCACTGGTTTGATTCCACCTTCCAGCTACTGTATCTCAGTTGTTGTGTCCTTGACACCTCACCCCCAGTGCCTCTGATGTGTGTATGAATGTGATTGGCACTGATTAGTCTCCACAGGTGATTGTACATGTTAGCTTTATAGAGACAGAGCGCTGTGTGAATGGGTAAATGAGGGCACAGATTGTAGTGTGAAGCACTTTGAGTATCCTGGTTGGATAGAAAGGTGCTATACAAMTACAGTCRATTTARCTGTTTTGGGGGTGGGGYAAACCGGAGTACCTGGAGATGKAAGCACAAGGAAAACATGCAAACTTCGCACAGAAAGATGCCAGGTCTAAACCGGGAATCGAGCCCAGGACCTTCTTGCTGTGAGGCYTCYGTGCTAACCACTGAGCCGTTGTACCGCCGCTTTAGCTTCTGTCAACACKATTAAAGYGTAACTTACCCCAAAGTTAACTTTTTTAGCTGATAAACTGTCTAGAATGTGTCTAAAATGTTATATAGTACTGTTTCTGTGCTAATTTTGATGTTTTTGTGCGTATTTGTTCAAATCTGTAATAGCCAGGCGTTGTAGCCAGGTTGCGTCATTGCGTCATCGAAGACGCAGCGTCTTCCATATATGGGCATACTTCCGGGAATGGCGGAGCTGCTCCGCTTGGGTGTTTCTCACAAGAGAGCCGTATGTCACAGCTGGAGAGCTACTCACGCTGCTGAAACTTGAGACTTTTTTTTTTTTTTGGTCATAACTAGACATTTTTTTAAAAATTAGAATCAAAATGAAGAACAATGTAAAATA